TTGTTTAATATTGGGTGGTAGAAGCTCATTTTAAACTAATGGCATTAGATGTATTTGTAATTTGATCCATATGACTTCATTCAGAAGCTTAAACGTGATGTTGATTCCACACGCATGGTGGGTAATAAAGGCCCTTTGCATCCATTCGACTAACTGGTTGTGGATTGAAAGCCTCTTGGACCACCTGCTTCCTACATGCAGCAGCTCATAAGTTTTAGGCAGCAAAATGTCGATAGTCAATATCAAAACCTAATAAATTTTGAGTTCTCGAGTGATTTTAAATCATTTTTCTGTAGGCACTTACTATTGCTTTATCTGGCTCATGGCTGTTATGGTCTTCCTTTTGGATTCTTGATCTCATATAATAGTAGCTACCCCGCCAGTGATTGTATTTGGATTACTTGGTTTTGTTTTTAATACTTTTTTTTATCTTTTGTTCCACATAGCGGCAACAATCATTACAGAGATGTTTAGGTCATATCTGAGTTTGAGGATGTGTAGTGTTTGCGTAGTCTTGATCCAGATTTTGTAGATAAGTGTTTATAAAAGTTTACATTTATGTAATCTATATATTTCGTCTATAGATTTGTAATTTGTAAAATTAACTTAATATAACCTCCAAGTTAGATTTTGGGAGTTTAGATTTATGTAGTCTATGAGAATGATAAATTCATAGCTTGAGACAAACAAATCCACATGTCAAACACTCTACTTCACAATCAAATTATTCAAATCAGGTAAATACCTTGTGAATGGGAAGCAATCATGCTTTCATCTTCATTGCATCCTAAAAGGGTAAATTTCCTCAGACTCATCTCCCCATATGCCACAGAGAATGGCAATTCAAGGGATGAGAGAGGAAGGTTTATTTCCTTTCTTTTCATTTTCAGTAAATAATATGATTGAAAACATGTCTCTAGGATTGCTATTTTTACACTCTGTTCTATAATTAAATAACTGAGATTTCATGATGTCATTTCATTTTGCAGTTTCAGATAGCAAAACCTCAGAAGTTCTACACATGGATGTCTGCCCATATGCATTTCAGAGCATGACGTACGATTATTAGACATCTGCAAAAGTATTTTGGACTTTACCATTATCAAACCATGGCGGATGTGGCCAACTGTGGGCACTACACTACCCATCCATTACAGTGGCCCTCTCTCTATCATATGGTGCTCTGATCTCAGGTTAGAAAAAAAAAATGTTGGTCTTGAACAAATGTTAATAATTGTTTACTTTGGATATGAGGCCATTGGACTCTACCTAAAATATCCCATATTAGTGAAAATATTGTTCTTATCTATGAATTTATAGATCTGAGTAACATTTTGCTCATGCATGAACATCTTAACACATTATATTGTGTTTGTCTGCATTCTAGGTATTCGTTTATTTTTTAATTTCACCCAAAAAGTTTCATACTAATACAAATGTAATCCAAATCAACGTGGGAATTTGGTTACAAGTTTGTAACCTCTATTTCAGTGCTGGGATCCTTATGAAAAGGGTAACTAAATTTAGATTAAAAAAGAGAGAGAAAATCACGGACATCATATGAAATTGTAGATGATGTGTGCCCATGCTAGCAGCCATGTGCTCAAGCCTATTGCACTGTGCTGTCAAGTTTTAGACCTGCTGTCTTTTTTTCCTCTTTTGATTTGCCAATGTTTATATATATTGACTTGTCTGACAACTTTGTTTTGATTAACATATTTGCAAATATCAGCTTCCCCTCAACAAATCTTCCTTTTCTATTGCAGATCCACTCAGATCTTTGTCATACATTCATACAATTCTGTATCACTATGCTTTATTTAATTAGTAACATGCTTTTTAAATATTAATAAAAATGGGAAACCATTTTCCTATTTGGAGTCATAAGTGAATTAATATATGTTAGTGTCTAGTACACAAGTGGTTGATTTAATAAGTCTACTGTTGATTGAAAACCAACAGTATGTTTGCAAATAAACAAAGGGGAAAAGGATGATGTTTTTTACCACCACTACATTTCTAGTTTGAATGTGTTTCCTTTTCTCTTTATGTAGTTAGATATCATCATTGAAAACCCTTTGGGGGACAGACTATCTGTTGAATTAAAGATGGGTTTAGGAAATGAATTCTTGAAAAAGAAGCCTGTCTGAAAATTGTTTACAATGAGATCTTAGATAGTGTAATATTGATCTCAAGGAAAGTCCAAACATGATTGCTAATTTTCCTTAACATTTTACATTTTCTAAATATAAATGGGGTGATTTCTCCTTCTTATGAATAACATGTAATTTTATACACATGATTTATTACAATGTACAGGTGCAGAGTCTCTCTCATCAGACAGAGAGAGAAGCAGAGAGTTTGGGACAAATATATAAATGTACAAAGCTTTCCCCCCAACTGGTAAGTGGTATCTCTTTCACAACTTTAGTTTGTGTGTTTTATTTGTATGGGACAACTTCATAGAGTGGACCTGAGATTCATATAAACTACTCATTTTTGGATCAAATACCACACATTACATTACAGACATTTCAAACTTCACCTATCTCTCTCTCTCTCTCTCTCTCTCTCTCTCCTCTTCCTCTCTCATATCATTCTGGAAAAAAATCCAAACTTTCTCTGTTTATACCCTAAATCTCTCCATTCCCACATCCTGGCTGTGTTCTACCACAGCCTCTCCTCCATTTTTGACCTATCTCTTCAAAATGCTGCTAATGGCCGACGATGGAAGCTGTTTCTCTTTCATCTTTCTTCTTCTACTCTGTTTCTCTCCTCTGTCTCTTCAATTTCAGGGGAAGATCAGCGCCGGCGATCTCGAAGCTCTGCGAGCCATAAAAAACAGTCTCACTGATCTCCCCGTCCGCCGGAGCCGGAGCTCCGACGGA